ATAGTGTTTGTTGGCGGGAGTCCACACTCCTACCTTGGTGCAACGGCAGACATATTTTCCAATGTCTATCCAGATGACCAGTACCCCCACCCTTTTAATTAGAAAAGTGCTTTTTACAATATTTACATACAGCACGAATTTGCATCTCACCTGTTTTTGGATTTGGTTGGGGCTCCTCGGTGAAATGCTGCCATGCCGGAGAAGTTCGCAGTCTTTTTCCTCTATTGCGTTCTCCAGCTTCTTCGTTGTATACTGAAGCATTATCCACCGGAGCATTTTCTGGTTCAGTGGGGGTGGGGTTGGAAGGCATCATTTCTTCCTCAAAAAATGTCTCCTCACGAAGCTCAGGAAGAGCAGTGAAATTAGGGAAATTTGGTGAGGCCATTTTCTGGAAATTGATAGAACTTGATTGAACTTTGTAAATGAAAGAGCTAGAAAATGAATGAACACGAGAAAAAAGCTTAGAATCAAAATCAAAGAGACAAGTTGAGAGATAGAATGAGAGTGAGATGAGAAGATGAGAGTGAATTGTTGTGTGGGATTTATGGTGGAATTAAAGGGTATTTATAGGGGATTTTTGGGTTAAAATTCAGTTTTTTTCCGTTGGGCCCTTGCGGGCCCAACGTGCGGCACGTGACGGACCTCTCGTTTGGCCCATCACCTGCCAAACGGGAGGCACGTGACGGGCCAAACGGGAGGCCCGTCATGTGCCGAACGTTGGGCCCGCGAAGGGCCCACTGGACCAAATGAAATGGGCTTCTTCATGGGCCGTTTCGTGGGCTTGGGCCGGGCCAAATAAGGGCCGTGCCGCGGGCCTCCATGTGCTTGGGCCGCGGGCTGAGAAGTTGAGGCCCAGCCCTAGTCCATTACACGTGTCGTGTCGGCACGGCCCGTAACAGAACCGGGCCGTGCCGAATCAGGCACTATTATGGGCTGGGCCGGGTTGTCCATGGACAGCCCGGCCCATTTGACACCTCTATAGTTGCAGGGCAAAACTTGCCCGAGCTTTTTCTTCTCCATTTTCTCCAAAGACTTTGACCATGTTTCAAGTTGGTTTTGTTTTTATTTTTTTACGCTTTTTCGAGAAAGAAAAAATGAAAACAAGAGAGAAATGATGTTTGACATAATTAAAGACAAAAACAGAAATGAAAATAATTTTTTGATTTAGTATAAAATGTGAGATAAATAAAAAATAACTTTTAGTTGTGTTTCTTTTTTGTTTCCGTTTTTTTCTCTTTCGAGCACAGAGGAAGAAATTAATGAATTTTTTTATATTAAAAATAATCTCTTAATAAATATACTAAATACATTTTTAAAAATAATTATTGTTTGAGATTAAAAATATTTTTATTTTTATTTTTATAAAAAAATAAAATTATTTTAGAACGATTTACAAATGCACCTTTATCTCTCTAAAATCTCCCATTCTCTCTCTAGACTAGAACCGCCCCTGTTGACCCATTTTCTTGAAATCTAAACCCTAATCTTGATTAAACACTCTCAAAACCTCCAAATCTTCATCTATTTCTCATTCTTCCACAATCTTTTTGTCCCCTTCCTCTTCTCATCATCCCGAAGCTTCGTCGGAGCGTCGCCCTCTGCACTGCTTCCTTCCTTCCTACCATTTCCAAGTAAGTTTCATGTTTATGAATCTTGAAACCTTGAAACCTTGAAACTTAGTTGTAGTTTGTTAAATTATGGTGTGTTTGTGATTTGGGGTTTTAGTTGTAATTTTTGATATTGTTTATTTTTCTGATTTTATTAGTTGATTATGTTAGTAAATGTGATTTGGAACTGATGATAAAGTTGTGAGAATTGATTGGATTAGTTTAATTGGAAATGTTCCAAAAAGAAGAGAAAGAATCGAATGATTTAATATGCTTCCTTTATTGTTGTGAATTTAGTTTTGCACTCTCACTCTAGTAGGATGTTCGTATTTAGATATGCTTTTTCCAATAATTTTGAATTATGGAATGAAGTTGTAACAATCGTTTTTTGTTATTGGTTATGGAATGGACTTGTAATTATGATGTGGTGTTATTATATAGTGTGTATATGGTAAAAGTTAAAGCCTTTATGGGTGATTTGATAGATGATGGATATAGATTTGGAACTTGAGGAGGTAGCCTATGCTAGGAATATGGTGGATATGTGATAAATATGAGTTAGATTATGTAGTTGAGCAAGTTTGAATATGTTTGGATTTTGATTTGGATATGGTAGTAATGTTGAGTTTTATATTTGTTTTTGCTTTGATGCAATTTCATTTAATTATTGCTTTTGTGTTAATTAATATTATTAACAAATAGGTGCCTTTGATAGTTTAGAATGTCATATGACAAGAGTTGGACGCAATTATGCAATCGGTTGTGTAATGAATATTGAACGGGGTGAAATCATTTCTTGAAAGAGCTAAAAATACTTTTAAGTACTTTTGTGAAGATTAGATGTCCATGTCGGGATTGTTGTAATGGAAAATGACATGTTTTGAAAGTAGTGGAGGCTCACTTATTAGATCGGGTATGCAAGAAACATACAAGTTGGCACCTTGGGTTTATCATGGCGAAGCTTTGGATGAACCTATTGACGTAGGGGAAGGTGATGATGAAGTGGGTAATGATGTTGAGATTGATGAAGCCGTTAATTATGTTGAGAATGATAATTGTTATGATTTGTTGCATGATATTGTTGAGAATGATGTGGAGGATGTCGATGTTGTTGCTACTGAATTTCCTGGAGGTGGAGCTAATGCTGAGAAGTTTGATTACCTTTTTGATGATATGAAACGACCATTGTACCCTGAGTGTGAAACCTTTTTGGTGTTGACATTCTTAGTGAAGGCAAAACAAAGGACGCTGACAAAGCACGATTGGACCTAGCAAATATGAAATTAAGAAAGGAGTTGCAATTGAAGAAAGTCGGGGATAAATGGGTCAAGTCGCAAGCTGTATCGTAGGAAAAATAGAAAAAATGTGCAGCGAAATTTTAAAAAATTTCTAAAAAATCGTACTAACTCGTGTTGCCATAGACAATAAATTATTAAACAATCTAAATACCTTGAGAAGCAAGATTCAGAAATGCAGGCGGATGTGACTGAGAAAGCTTCAATCAACTAGTCTTCTTTACTATTCTCCAATTCCCAGACAGTGGAGTGTGTGGGCACTCGGATTCTCTACTTGTATTTGCGCAGCTTGTCTCCTTCCAACCACCTAGATCTCTAAGAATTCATTATTATTAGTGAGAGTTATATTAACAAATTCGCTCACTTAAGAGTTCTGTGGTCAAAGAAAAATAGGAGTCCTAAGGATCCTATTTATAGTGAGTACACCGGGTGGTTTTTTAATTCGAACAGGATTCTGAAAAAGATTTTTCCTCTATCCTTCCACCTAGGGATTGGCAATTTTTCTCCCTTCTTTTTGCTAGGAAAAATCGTCCACTATAGAATAGGATATCTGAAATTTTTATTTCAAATTTTAGTCTTCATTTATCTTATGATTTTATCTGCATGGATAGTGTTCCATAAATTCAGTTTAAATTCAAAATAAAATTATGTCAACTTTATTTGAATTAAACAATTTAGTAATTATCCAAAATAAAATCAAATTAGGAGAAAATCTTTTCCACCTTATCCATATGGTTCACGCCACAATTTAAGCATGTAGGATAAGATATTGTTTCAGTTCAAATTCAAATAGGATAATCTCCATATTTAAATATAAATATTTATTTAGATAAGATCACTTAGATATTTAAATTAATCATTCTAATGATTGACTTATCCATATCTTCTAAAATTTAATTTGATTTCATATTTATCTTAAAAGATAAACATAATCAATTTAAATTTCTAATCTTATCTTCCAAATAAATATTTATCCAAATTAAATCAAACAAAATTCTTGTTCTACCATTCTCTTAAAAAAACGCCTACACCCTTGTGAGGTGCTTGGATTTTTCTCTTTACTAAGACCAAGAATTAAAGCCATAGAATATCCCGATCAATTACCATCCGTTAAGGAATTATACGGAACTAGTAAAGGGACCGATTGGACGCATATAATATGGGCTCCAATAATTTATGCAATCATAATTCTATACCAAATAATACAATTACATAATTATTAGTTTCAGAGTCATGCCGCTATAAATTTGAAACTGCACTCCCAATTATATATTGTATTACGTAAGCGAATAATTAGCCGTTGTCCAATGACCTTGTCATATATGCAACACCCTAATATGATATCCATGATCAACCTAGAACAAAGTCCGTTCAACCTTTTGATCACGCTATCTTAAAGATCCATTATACATCTGATGAGAAAATAATTATTCACCATATGTGAATAATAAATCATTTGCAAAGCAAACGATCCAAAGCCTTGTTCATTTTCTCAATCCAGTATAATGTCGTTAAGAGGATAACCTTTACTCTTTATAAGAGCTATGATTTCATATCTATAAGTAAACCCTCCATCGAATATAAGTCTTGTGCCCAACGAACCAGTCTATTAGCTTACTACTTAGAGACACCTTATCCTTTGGAACATCTAAGTACACAAGTTATACACATAAAGCCATTCACATACTCAGGATCGAGGTTATTGCATAATGAACGTCAAAAATGAATTAATCTACTCAAGCGGACTACATATATTAATTACACTTTGGTCTAAGTCCAATACGTCACCACAGCTAGGCAACATATATATATTTCTACTCGGGAGTCTACTTGCTCCAGACAGTCAAGACAAACGTCTCCCCAATTAGCTTTAGACAACATAATAGTCTTAACATGAGTTAGATACTCACTCGAACCCCATAGACTACGAACTATAGATTTAGACTATTTACTTTAGAACGTTTTCTTCTCGCATACAAAAGACCATTGCATGCAACATTCTAACAGTTTAACGTTAAGTAGGCAGTGAGCCATATTTGCTTACATTTACTTTAACATGTAAAATAAGATTACATATAGCAATGTAATGAATAACCTCTAAGATATTAATAATCAGTTCAAAAATAAATAAAATACATTAAAATGTCTTTGCCGCTTAGGGCATTCCTCACACGTATATGTCTTAATTAAAGATGAGAGAAGGCAGTTTTGTAAATTTCTAAAGTCTGTCAAATTTCCATATGGGTTTGAATCAAATATTTCAAAGAATGTCAATGTAGTTGATGGAAAAATATCTGGTTTGAAGTCCCACGATTGTCATGTGCTTATGCAGCAGTTGTTACTAGTGGGCATCAGGCCTTATATGATCACTCTGGAGGTTCGAGAAACGCTTACTGAATTATCAAACTTCTTCAAGCAACTGTGTGCTAGAACTTTGATTGTTAAAGACTTGGAAGATATGGAGAAGAAGATTGTCAAAATTCTGCACAAATTAGAAAGGATATACCCGCCGGCTTTCCTCGATATTATGGTCCATTTAGCTGTACATTTGCCTAAGGAAGCTAGGCTCAGTGGTCCAGTGCACGCCAGATGTGTATCCCTTTGAACGGTTTATGGGAACACTAAAAAAGTATGTTAGAAACAAAACTCATCCTGAATGTTCTATTGAAGAGGGATATATAGTGAATCGAGCTTTAACATTTTGTTCATTGTATTTTTCTGGGATAGAGACACGATTTAATTGGCAAGAGAGAAACTATGATCTGCCATCTGTGTCATCACAAGCACAGTTATCAATATTTAAACATCCTGGTCGACCATTGGGAAGTAGAAAGATAATTCGTCTTGATAACAATTTACAAAAAAAAAGGCGCATTGGTTCATTTTAAACCACTGTCCAGAAGTTAGAAAGTATCTCGAGTACGTGCCTCTATCCTTTCACAATTTCAATAAAGTTATTATACTTCCCGCTACTTTGCATATATATTATGCAATTAATGTGTGCAGTCAACATATGGAAGAGTTGAGAAAAACTATCCCACGCAACTTGTATTATTAACTTATTCTTTATATTACCTATCTTACTAAAAACAGAGAAAAGCATACAAAATAGTTCGAATAGAGAACAATTGGGTGAATATGTGGGGGCACAGGGGAGCAAGTCATATGCGGCGCACAGAGCAAACAAACAAATATAAGCCCTATTGTGTTTCATAAGATGGTGCATTGGGATGAAAAGACTGGTTGGAGTGATTCTTTGGCAGAGCAACATTATGTGAGTGTGCCCAAGTAATTTATAATTGCATTCATTTCATATGAATTCAATTTACAAGTGTTTTAATCCTTAACAAATTTATTTGCAGGAGGATATGATTCGAATTCGCGAAGCACAACAAGAAATTGAGGAGCAAAATGAAGAAGGGACATTTCCGCCACGCAACAATCGCCTTTCAGATTAAGAAATTGTGGATCGAGTTTGTAAACCCAAATCAGTATACATAAAGGGCTTGGGAAATAAGACTGTTGATTCGAAGAGGACTCTCCATGGTTGTTCTTCCTCTTTCTCTTCTCAACATCCAGAATATGAAGTGTTATCCCAGCGATTCAGTGACTATAGACAATTTCAGGAGGCAAAAAATCTCCAGACTCAACAAACAATTGATCATTTAACTGAACTGATGCGGTCTCAATTTCCTCACCTTTTCCCACAATATGGACCGCCCTCGCTGCCACCTCAATGAACAAATTTGGTTTTCTTTACTACTCTCTAGTATTTACCTTGCACTTAGTTTTAAATTATAACTTATTTTTTTATTGGACTTAGATGTTCTTACTGAAGACTTGTACTAATTACTTATGATGGCAACCTAGATCTTTTTCTTGCACTTAGTTTTAAATAAGAACTTATCTTTTTATTCTACTTAATGTTATTATTGAAGACTTGTACTAATTACTTATGACAATTTAGATCTTTTCTTTTTATTGTAATAGTTTACTATTTAATGTCAATTAGTTGTAATGTTATATATATTTAAGCAAATACTTAAATTAAATTAGTTATATTATTAATTATATGCTTGTTGTTATGAAGCACAACTACTATCAATTATATGGTTATTGGTATCAGCCATTTATAAATTAATAAATCAAAACAATAAAAAAATTGAACAATAGCTACGAAAAAAATCGCCGCTATTTATAATGTTGAAATCAAAATAATTTTATTACAAATAAATATATAGTGGTGAAATTTTTCGCCCCTAATGTCACTTCTTATGTGTCAAAGAGACATAAAATGTAGTGGCAACTTTCTTTTGTACCGAGAAAAAATTTTCCCACTAACTGTAGCGGCGAGTTTCAAATTCATCATTATAAGACTATAGTGATCAGATTATAAAGACAAGTTAGTGAAGAATATTTTCACCGCTACATATAAATAGCGGCGCACATATTTGTATAGCGGTGAATTTTTTTTGCCGCTAATAACTTTTTCTCTTGCAGTGATAGTAGTTGCCAACTAGCAAAATTTGGCAGTTGCCTTATTGAGCTTAGCTAGCTAGCCCCATGTTCACGTGATTCTGCTTCTAAGCCATTTTGTTCTTTTCTGGTACTCCTCACTATTCCTATATAATACACTCTGTGGACTCCAAAACCTTTACCGCTCTATTCTTCTCTCTCATATATTCACTCTTCTCTCTTTTTCAAAGGAGAGAGTTAGAAAAATGGAGTTCTCCAAGTCCTATGCTCTTCTTCTCATTTGCATGCTCTTTGTATCCTCAGTCACTCCCATTCTAGGCTGTGGATCTTGTGGAAAGCCCTCTCCAAAGTATAGAAAACCCAAGTCCAAATCATCTCCACCCAAGAGCCCCATTACTTTGCCACCAATTGTGAAGCCCCCTATTAAGGTACCCCCGGTCACTCTACCACCGCTTGTCAAGCCTCCCATTAAGGTGCCCCCGGTGACCGTTCCCCCGGTCACTCTACCACCGGTTGTCAAGCCCCCCATTAAGGTGCCCCCGGTGACCGTTCCCCCGGTCACTCTACCACCGGTTGTCAACCCCCCGGTGACTGTTCCCCCAGTTACCGTCCCTCCTGTTACTGTCCCTCCGGTTGTCGGTCTTCCCCCAATTGGTCTCCCGCCAATCGTATCAAATCCACCATCCGGCTCTAGCCCAGCAAAGCCATGCCCACCACCACCAGCGTCCAAGGAAACTTGCCCGATTGACACATTGAAGCTTGGTGCTTGTGTGGACCTTCTTGGTGGGCTTGTACACATTGGACTCGGCGACCCGGTGGTCAACAAGTGTTGCCCAATCCTTCAAGGGCTTGTTGAGGTTGAAGCTGCGGTTTGCCTCTGCACCACTCTCAAAATCAAGGCTCTCAACCTCAACATCTATGTCCCACTTGCTCTTCAGCTTCTTGTCACTTGTGGAAAGACACCTCCTCCTGGCTACACCTGCTCTCTGTAGACTTAGTAAGTACCTCTTACCCCTACACACAAACAGTTAGGTACTAAATATATATGTTATTTCTTGCACTAATATGATGCAACATTTAGAGATGTACACTCTCACCATATTCTTAAATTTTCCTACCACCCAAACCTTATCTTGAGGTAGTACCTTAACTAATTGAGCTAATTACTTTTGCTTAAACTTTAATATGATATAGTTGCATTTCTAAGGGATTCTTTGAAAGGGAGGGATTTAAGCGAAAATTGTAGTGCTTTCGTCAACAATCATTGTCTGCCAATTCTATCAGGAATATATATATATATATATCTTTGTCTTCCAATTCTCAGAAAAAAAGAGTATCATAATTTGATTTGAATAAGAAATAAAAATAACCACACGAAACTTTTTTGGTCCGGAACCGGAAAATTAAGAAGAACGGAAATCAAGGCAGTTTGTTTTATGGGGGGGAAAAAAGCAACAAAAGAATGTAATCAAAACAGGATTTTATGCCTAGGGAAGACAGGAGATAACATGACAAAACAGCGCACTTGATATAACTCTCCCTCTTACGCACACAAGAAAATAGCATTTGAATTTCTATGTGGTGTTTTCTACGGCACATGATACTGACAGTGCATGATGTTTTTTAACATTAAATTTGTTCAATATTACATCAAAATAAACTAATATGAAAAACTATATGGATGTTGATACAAATCTAATAGTTTAAACCGAGCTCTACTAATAAGTAGTTTTTCATATCGACTAAAATTGTTCTATTTCCTTAATTACTGAGCTCTATTTCTCTCTACGAGAGCTTCTTATTTGTTCAACTAATGTCTCACAGGAATATTTATTGACAATGGGATTCCAGGTTTGAAAGTTTGATTGGTTGTAGGACAGATTCGTCGTGAGAGGATGTCGAGCTGCCCTTCTCTTTCCTCTCTCTCTCTCTCTCTCTCTCTCTCTCTTTGATTGGTGTTAGGACAGATTCGTCGTGAGAGGATGTCGAGCTGCCCTTCTCTTTCCTCTCTCTCTCTCTCTCTCTCTCTCTTTGATTGGTGTTAGGACAGATTCGTCATGAGAGGATGTCGAGCTGCCCTTCTCTTTCCTCTCTCTCTCTCTCTCTAAAACGTGTCTTTTTCTTTTTAATTATTTGTTCTTTGGTACTATACCATAATGCTTGGCCAAGATCTTTGTGTACGGTACCAATATTTTCTCTTTAATTTATGAGACTATTTGTAAGTGTGTCTTTTCTTCGACAAGGATTCAATCAAAGATGATTATTTCTGTCTCGTTTTTATATGTTATATTTATTGAGATGCTTGTTTTACGCCAACTATATATATTTACAGTGATTAGAGTGTGAGTCTATATCTACATGAGTACCACAAGTAAGAGCAAATATTATGTGTCATTGTCGATTCCTTATAGTATGGGAATATCCCCTATTCTCATTCATATTTCAAAATGGTTCGGAACGATTTTTATTCATTCTAAGCACTAGCTGGCTATAAGAAGCAAAAAAAGATTGATGGAAAATCTTAATGGCTTTCGGAGGTTTTGTCTAATCTACTTCTACTATAAAAGCAGCTTGTTTTAGAATAGTAATTATCAAAACAAAAACCTTCTTTCAATTCAAAGCCAACTTCTAAGAATTACTTTTGAAAAAAGTGCATGTTTGAACTTATTAATTTAGAAGTTGTAAAAGAATACATCTTGTAGCTCAAAAACTGAAACACGGTAATTCAACAGGGACGCACTATATATTACATTCCATATTAGGTATATATCTCTACGTATGCAAATAATTTATATTTCTAACATCTAATTACTATTTTGTGTTTTCATCGAAATTTTGGGTTTGTACCTAACTATTTAAATATATCAATAGATATTTCGTATTATTAAAAAAAATTAAAAAGCCCTCCGAGTACCTTGAGGTTATTCTTTGGAAAGGAAATATCTAACCAATCTCTTGAGATTTTCATATATATAATATCTTCTTCTCTGCAGTACCTACTTCTCTTTAGTTTCGTTTTTGTTCCGATAATTTTAGATTGTGTTGAATTTTGCCTCATTTGCTCTTTGCTTCTACGTTAATATATTCTTTAGAGTCTTCGGTTTTCGATCTAAAATTTCAACCGACTTCTCTTCATAGTTGAGGTCTTCCTGTATCTCAATCACTTAAGGTTTGATCACGTGCGTAGGATCCAAAACGTACTTTTTAAGCATCAAAACATGATAAACATCGTGAATAGATGACATATCTGTTGGCAGATTCAACATATAAGTGTGACGCCTCCTACCCTTGTGGCGGGTCGCTAACCTTATACTACTACTAGTAAGCTAAAATATTATCTAACCTATTACTTGTTACTTAACTATCACCTCATTGTACCACGCACATACATAGGTGCATTTTTTTTTTCTTTTTACCTCTGAGTTCTCAACATGTTCATTAGCATGTTCTTTTGTCATATTAATACAACATCTAGCTAATACTTTGTGATTTCGGTTATGGAATCTATCCCCGAAACTTATCTTAACTTATTACAGTCTGTTGTTCTTTACTAAGACTGTAGCATCTATTTTTTAAAACTGAATACATTAACTTTTGTTCTACATTACATTATTTCTACAGCGGAATTTTTCCTACGCGGGCGAAGTAGACACCACTCCCATGAACCCATGACATATCCGCCACCTTGCATCCGCCAGTCCATCAAACATAATTATTATATAACTGGCTGTTTACCTGTGTTACCTGTAACACGAGTAAACTGATGAGCGAATGCCCAACAAATATAGACATGCACACATCTTAAAACTAATAAAACTATATAATGTGTCATAATGCAAGAATGCACATATGAATATGTTTCCTTGCTAACATGCTCTAAATAACTACTTTCTGTCTTTCTGTTCTTGTTACTATAGGCTGTTGGAAATGTGTCCATAAAGTAGGATGTAATTTGTTATTTGTAAAATGACAAATGTCAGACATTATTGTTTTGCTGATTTTATAAAATAAAATAAAGTTATGTTTTGATACATATTCAAGAGTGTTAGTGATATTGCTTAGTCCATAGACTGTTATCAACGAAAGAAGAGTCAGGGAAACCCTGCCGGACAAACTCTTCTGATATAGTTTAAAATAGATATTCGCAGTCTTAGGATCGATTGGGCAATC